GTCCTTTTTCATGTCCCCTATACACCCTTTTAATAAGTCCCGAGGTATTGTCAAATTTATTCTTTTGAATTCCTTATGTATTGTAAAAATTTCAAAAGAATAAATTTGACGTCAAGTGCGGAGAACATGATACCTCAGGACTTATTAAAAGGGTGTATAACAGTCCCTCTGAAATTTTTTTGCCTTTTCTAAGAACAAATAGATATTGATTTGCTGCTTCTAAAAAGAAGACGTAAAAAGGCTTTTAAGGAGGTATTTTCGTTATAACTTCACGGTTTTGCAAGATCTTATGCAATCAGGATTACTACCTTCTCTTAAAGGGACACTGTCAATGGCACGCATGCGCGAGTAAACTTGAAAACATTAGGCTAGTGTTTTCAAGTTTATGACTCCAAGTTGGCGCGACATAAATCAGCTCGTAAACGTAAACAGATCTAGAATATTCCAAAGTGTGTGAAAAGCACCACAAAATGATTTACCTCGAAGGTAATACTTTCAAAGTCCGTTAGAGGTGAGATTGTTACTGCGCATGTCATCCATTGACAGTGTCCCTTTAAACCAAAGGGAACACTAGTATTTAAGAGCGACTTTACAATGAGCATTGTTTTATTTCTCCAATCACAAGTACCCTTACAAACTTGTGAATAATAACAGTGCAGAATAGCCCACGTATGATATTTTGATTGATTAATCGATTAACGGCACACAAAAGAATTCAGTGAAAGCGCGGATCAGGGAAAACAATAATTACTTGTTTGCTTGTTTTTCCCAAGCCTCGTATCCAATTCTTTTCATAACTACTCAATAACAATATCGAAAATGAGCTATGAAGTATATTGATGCGTCTCATTTCATTCAATTTTAATAATGCTCTTTTTTTGTTTCTTTTTCTTTTTCTTTTTTTTTCTATCAGAATAACCTGAAAAGCACGAATAAAAAGCATGAAATACTACCAACGAACACAGGAGAGAAAATCCACAGCCGCTGGAACAACTGTAACTGGTGATAAGTGTGATATCTCAAACTCAAAATGACTCTGGTTCTCACGTGCAAGCTTTTTACTGCTAAATTGAAAAAAAAAAAAAAAAGAAAAAAAAATGGGTAAAAAGAGGTAAAAAATGGGTAATGGGTTACTGGTGAACATCTCTGTAAACTTGTTTTAATGGGAATGTCAGTGTTTCGTGCATTGGATCTCCAATAATATTTCTCCCTATATTGAAAAGCTACTTATAGAGAGTGAAAATCCACAGCCGCTGGGACAACTGTAACTGGTGATAAGTGTGATATCCCAAACTCAAAATGACTCTGGTGCTCACGTGCAGGCTTTTTACTGCTAAGTTGAAAAAAAAAGAAAGAAAAAAATGGGTAAAAAGGGGTAAAAATGGGTAATTGGTTACTGGTGAACATCTCTGTAAACTTGTTTTAATGGAAATGTGAGTGTTTCGTGCATTGGATCCCCGATAATATTTCTCCCTATATTGAAAAGCTACTTATAGCTATATATACCGTGACACCCCAGTAACATTACGTGACATAACAATATACAATCTGGAACCAATATGCTACACCTGGGTAATCTTCAAGGCATAAAACTCGCCAAAAATCATAAAATAAAACTATTGGCTTCTTTTGTGTGTTATTGGATGTAGCATAGCTCAATTGGTTCACACAAAGTCTTCTGTTTACCTTTACAACATAGAGCATCAGGGAGAGTACAAAGAGATATCATAGAGGGCTGCATAAATTGATATGGGGGCTATGTAAGTTGGGATGTTTTTTTAAATGATAACAAAAAGCAAGATTGATATAYATTAAATTTAGAATGACTAAAAATTAAAATCCTAAAAGATGGAATATCGCAGAATGTTTAATATTCCAAAGCAGATATTGTTATTGTACAAYGTGTTTTTATGGTTTTTATATCTGCATAATGTGCTCGAATATATACGCTATTTTTGTCACACCGAAAAACAGAATGAAAGACTCAATAAAAAGAGCCGTAAAAAGAAATGTAAGCACTTTTCATAATAAGACCAGAAAATTCAAATCAGCAGCCAGTTCTATATTTGTAACGTATTTGTATACGTCACTCAGTTTCTAAATATGGCAAGTACAATGCCCAGAGATAGATGTTGGGTATGATTAAGTTTACGCCGTACTCACTGGTTTGACCTCCGCGGCTTTGAAGGGTCGAGAACTTACTCGGTAAGTTGTCTCTCAAAATTCAACGCATTCTTTTCAATATAAATATTGCTTTTTCTTTGATGTGAAGCTTTGTACAAATCTTTCTCAGTTGAAATAGTACTTCGGTCTTTATTTGGATCTTCTTTTGCTTTCCAGAAGGGTGGAACTTTGGAACAGATCGTCACATTAAGGGTGAGTGTAAATCCTTAGTSAAATTAAAGATTATTTGGCTTAAAARGGACCCAGAAATTKTATTTTATTAYTCTTATAACAGTGGTCAAACCAATWATTGTATTTATTTGTGTCRGYCATTCGTATATCGGATGTKGAAGCTCTTTRAACAGCTCCAGAAGCGATCATTGTTTTTAATAATTATTACTATATTTTTATGCAAAACTAAAGAAAATATACCAAAAAGAAAACAATTCCATAATCTCAACTTAGTCGTCCTCCTTATAACTAAAATCAAAAGCAAACATCTACGGACATAGATGAAATAAAAAATAAACATTTGCATAAACAGAAAAAAGTGACCTATACTGATGTGAATATTTAGCGGTCATTTCGAAATCTTTTAGGCAAACATAGAGTGTCTCTTGTTATTTTATTTACATAACYTGGCATGGGATTCACTAAGCTACATGATTTCACTACATGACTTTGTCTAGATCTCCTTAAATGATGTCATATTGGTGACACTATAGCMTAATTAACTAGCGCTGTTTGCACTCGTTAGACCGAACTGACAKATCTTTATTGAGAAATAACCATGGCAGACTGAACAACTTTTTGTCATAGATGCAAAATGCAATCAGAATGCTATGTGCATTTTCATTTTGAATTTGGTTATTCAATCTTGAAGAAAAATCACTGCGACCAATGATGGTCGACCAATGATGTTATATAAGAATGCGCGCAAAGCATTGTGGTCGCTTTAGCCAGTGACGTCATGAAGCAAGTTCATTTATGTTTTGTTAAATGAATTTTCATAGCTTCTTTTCAAGACCTTCAATCATGGCAGATCCAGAAGCAGCTGCAAAGTAAGTAATTTATTAATATTTATAATTTATTAATATTAATATTTATTAATATTTATACACCTAATTCCAAAAAAAAATGTTCTTGAAAAGTAGGACATTTTTATTCAGTAAAAAAGAATGAATTATATATAGCTATTTCAAAAAACGTTGTCGGGGGGAATGGCGAACGCCGGTTGTCGAAAGGAGATTGTACGACCGAAATGGACTATGGTTATACACTGTTTTGATAAACAAAATTTCACTTACATTGTATTGGATTCACCTTACATAGAAATGSAGACTAAATGGAGCCAATGTTTACCACAGACCATCTTACAGTACAAATCAGTTAGTATTGCCTTTCAACTAGCAAAACCCATGGCTACTTTCGGTCATGCAATCGCCATTCGACCATTGAAATTCGCGCCATTTTATCCGACACCCTTTTTTGAAATAGCTATWCACAAACATTAAATATACAAAAGACGCGCTCTGTCGTGAGTGATCTTCTTGGTCGTATTTTCGATGACAATCTTGTTGGTGACCCTTGAAATAACTGCATTTTTGCCGCGCTCTTTTGAGTGTTTTCGTATGGTCAATTATTGAATCAATTAATTATTATGTACTAAAGTTAATTATGTTTTTGAGGGTTATTTTGGTCAGTTAAAGTGTTTGGTTTTTTTCATACCTTCCCTTGCTCTCATCGATCYGGATAAATGACTGACTAGAATTATTGTTGTTATTATTGTTAATCATATTAACGGTGTCCATGTTCCCCTTAGATTCAGCTCAAAAAACGAGTTCCCTGAGCTTCTTAACGACCCAAAATGCAATCCCAAAAGCTTAGTGAAGAAGCACCTTTCTAAGAAAGTGTTTGATTCACTCAAAGCCAAGAAAACTAAGCTTGGAGTCACACTCTGGGACTGCATTAACTCTGGTGTTGTCAACCTTGACTCTGGTGTTGGTGTTTACTCAGGTAAGATGACAACCAAATACAGCATTAATAGACCACCATATAGTCAGAATGCGTATGCTGCCATTGCAAGGAGCAAAGCTTTTACCATATATGGTAGTTTAGGGGAAAAGTCAAATAGAGTCTAAAAAATACCTACCAATAACTGGTAAAAATAGGAATGAAAAAATGAAAAACACGAGATTACAACGGAATAAGAGTCATTCGTGGCACATTGGTACAACAGTTATGTTATTGATATAGAAAAATAGACAGTATTCGTTATGGCTGTGTTTTAGTACGASTAAATCAATGCTCWATTAAATTTCTCTGTTATTCAGWTTTTTATTCCYTTTGGAGATTAGTAGAAAGTAGSCAAAGCATYYCGGWAGTCAAAGTATACGATAYCAYCCTGAAAATGGCCTATTAATTAATTAATTCTTATGTACTAAAGTTAATAATGTTTTTGAGGGTCATTTAGGTCAGTTGAAGTGTTGTTTTTTTTTTCACACCGCCTCTTAGAGATTAGTAGAAAGTAGGCAAAGMATYYCGGTAGTCAAAGTATACRAYACCATCCTGAAAATGGCCTATTAATTCACTTTCATATCATTTRTTTATACATTACAWTWCAATACAATATATTTATTGCTCAGTTTCAAGATTTATATACAATGATAATTTCTATTTTTTTTTTTCTTAAGTAAATACTCCTTTCACATTTTATATGAATTTTAAACCGATCAGAGAAAAGAGTATTTGTTTTTCGAGCCTGGAAGCTAAGTTAACTAAAAGTTTTCTAGTTAGCTTCCAGCTTAGCGTTAACATATTATTTTGAGGTAGAAGAATGAAAAAAAAAACTTTTTAATTACATATGTATTAAAAATATCAAGAAGTAAAAGTATGAATAACATACTATATATACGATCCTCCTTTCCTTCTTTGAAACGTTTTTTTTTTTTCACGCCAGGTGATGAAGAGTGCTATACTCTCTTTGGACCTCTTTTCAATGACGTCATCGAGGACTACCACGCTCCTTACAAGCTCCAAAAGGGGCATACCTCTGATATGAACCCCGAAAAGGTCAACGCCCCAGATCTCGACCCTTCAAATGTCTACATCCGCTCAACAAGGATACGCGTGGCACGTAATCTTAAGGGATACGCCCTCACCCCTGGCTTGGGCAAAGATGCACGTGTTGAGCTTGAGAARAAAATTGTGAAAGTTTTAACGTCTTTGACTGGTGACTTGGCAGGTATGGATAAAGAAAAACCTTAGCTAGTGATAATATCTATGTGTGCAATGCACTCAATAGTCAGTACACRGCGACGCCATTTTGTGCATCAAAGCATGTCGGGAGATTTTTAAAAACGTTTCAGTCGAGCTCATAAGACTTTGAAAAATCCACTCTTGACTTTTTAAAGTATTTTTAAAAGTTGCTTTCTTTSGCGTTGGTTCAGGTCGAAAACTACGAGTAGTATACATACAACTTCAGCTTTTTGTTTTGGTGGCAGTTGCGAATGCAAAGCAGTCAGCTTGCTGAAGAAGGGCGAATGTTCTAAGCGTTCTATAAAGAGTGGAAAGTTAGTTACAAGTTGTGTGTCTTTTTCTTCAATTTTTTTCTATTTACAATTTTCGCTTCTTTATATCCTTACTGTTCAATCACTTTCTAATGTTATATTATTAGTTGCTAAACCCTATTATTACAACCTAATGACTATGTTGCTTCAATTTTCTCAATACAATAAATAAACAATAAATAACTTCGTGGGTACTAAACAGAAGTTGCAGGCTCAGCACTTTTCAGGTGTTTTTTAAGAGACTTAAAATATAAAATACATAAAAATACATGATGCGTGGCTCATTACTYTTTAGGAACGTACTATCCTCTTACTGGCATGGACGAGAAGACGAGRCAGCAGCTTGTTGACGACCACTTCCTCTTTAAGAAAGGTGATCGCTTCCTCGAAGCAGCTGGGGTAAACAAGGAGTGGCCAGAAGGGCGTGGCATCTTCCACAACAATGACAAGACCTTCTTAGTGTGGGTGAACGAGGAAGACCACCTGAGAATTATCAGTATGGAGAAGGGTAGCGATATTGGCTCAGTATTCAATCGCTTGTGCCGTGCTGTAAACGAGATTGACAAGCAGCTTGGCTTCCAGCACACGAAGCAGCATGGGTACCTCACCTCATGCCCTTCMAACCTTGGTACGGGCATGCGTGCTAGTGTTCACGTTAAGATACCTCGCGCCAAAGGAAACCCAGATTTTGACAAYATMTGTGAGAAGTATCATATACARGCTCGGGGAATTCACGGCGAGCACTCGGAATCCACCGGAGAAGATGCGGGTGTCTACGACATTAGTAATCGTAGAAGACTCGGATTGTCCGAAGTTGAATGTGTACAGGACATGTACAATGGCGTWAAAAGCTTAATGGAGATTGAGAAAGCAGCTGTTGAGTGAGTATTTCGTTACAAAGTCTGTAAATAATATGTGAACACAATGTAAATATACTGTAAATTCAATTTACAGACAAAGTTTATAAAGTTTGCACATTCTGTACATATCTTGTAACTTTTGTCGATCAAACATTGTAAATATTTTGTAAAATCAACTTCCAAAATTTATAAAAGGATATTTTGTCTGTAAATTGAAGTATTAATAGTAAATTCAGAAACTCTGTAAATTGATCAATTCCTCTAGAGTTAAATATAAAGTATTTAAGTAACAATGCGCGCAAAAAGCAGGCAACCTTCTATTGTTCTGCGGCAACTGCAACTTCCCCACATACGAATGTCTTGGTTTTCACACTGATTATATATCAACCTATGTGTAACACATTTTTAAAATAAAATGTGGATAAACTCTGTTTTGAAACAAAGTTTCTTTTGTATTAAAAGATCTTGTCCAATCATAAGCACTCAAAACAATAGTCAAAAGATGCTTCTAATTTGCTATGTTCACCACATAGAATTGCTATTAATATTAAAGCTAAGGAAAGCTTTTATAAAGTTAGAATCAGATATTAAATAAAATATTAAAAAATGCGATTACTTTTGAAATTATGTCAAATTTTAATSTTTTAACCAATGAGATGGATGGATTATACAATACACAATTAGCACCTTCATGCATTCCATTGCCGTTTGCTTGCCTGCTTCTTACTCGGACCATTACTTAAACGAACAAATTAGTTTATTTTACCAAGTTACGGAGAGGAATGTTTTTCAGGAATCTTTATAATTTTAGGCAAGAGATCTAGTGCTGGTATTTCGTATATATCCATGTTAAAATATATTTATTACAATTATTGTAATTACCCACAGAAAGGAGCGCTCAGTCTTCCCAGAAGTCCTGAAAAGTGATGATGTGAAATCCCTTCTCAAGAAACATCTTTCTCAAGAAATCTTTGATTCTTTGAAGACCAAGAAAACAGCAAAGGGCTTCTCCATTTATGACTGCATCAACTCCGGTGTAAAGAACCTTGATTCCTCCGTTGGTGTGTACGCTGGAGACGAGGAGTGCTACAGCCTCTTCTCTCCCCTCTTTAACATAATTATTGAGGATTATCATTCCCCATACAAGCTTACTGACAAACACACATCCGATATGAACCCGGAAAAGGTAAAAGCACCYAATCTTGATCCTAAAGGCAATTTCATTCGGTCGACTAGGATTCGTGTTGCAAGGAATTTGAAGGGCTACTCCTTGACTCCTGGTCTTTCAAGAAATGAACGAATAGACATCGAAAAGAAGGTAAACGAAGTGTTCTTGAAACATTTTCTAGAAGTTTCAAAACTATCTGTTTAAAGTGCAACACTGCCAGGTTTTTAGACCAAGAAATTAGTTGTTGCATGTAATTTTATTTGTTACTATATTATTCGGGTCCGCAGTAATTGGCTCACGCTGTTGCGGTGTCCCTGCCCAATCTTAAGTTCCTAGTGTATAACTTAATATCGTCTTATGTCCAATGTATGTATTATGTATGATGTCGACGTAGTTATTTCCCAGTTTGTGTATCCTTCAGGGCAAAGCTAATAAAATAAAATAAATAAATAATAAATTTTGTAAGTAATTCTTATAAGATGTTTTTAGTAATTTTGCTTATAAAATTCATCACGACTAGGCTCGAAGTTTCGGTGCCATCAGGCACCATTTTCAAGACTAAAGTAATTGTGAGTTCGCAGTTTGAATATATTTGAATATAGTGGCTCTAGGGAATAGATTGTTGTCGCGCTCAAAAGATTTTTGAAGATTTTTGAACGCAATAACAATCTATTCCCTAGAGCCACTATATTCAAATATATTCAAACTACGAACTCACAATTACTTTAGTCTTCAWRATGGTGCCTGATGGCACCGAAACGTCGAKCCTAGTCGTTKTAWGTAATYTACGTAATATATAGARTATAGAATATGATAAARTATGATTTATGTAATATATAAAATATGCTTGCAGCTCGCAGTTTTGAATGGCCATAAWKGTCGGACGCGAATATTWTATATTGCTTATCAAATTCCAACATAAGATAGCGCATATTTTGCAAAAAAATTCAAGATCAAATATCAATTTTAAGACAAAATCGAAGTCAAACTCTTGTGCAAATCAGAACAAATCTCTTGCTGATCGTATTGATGGTTTTCAACCATTCCCAGGAGAGAAAGTTGAACAAAARATGTCCGCCATTGCTGGTGGACCTGACAAAAGAAAACCACCACCGTGACTGGTGGACCTTTTTGTTTTGCTCACTCTCATGGGAATGGTTGAAAACCATCAATAAAKATGCGGTCATGYCAATGATTTTCCATTGTGTTTACCTAATGAATTATTAATTAATTTGATAATGACAAATRCTGCTTAATTCCCGTCAAGTCTTTTCTGATCTTCTGTAATTGTTTTAACTAGGTAACTGGGGTTCTCTGTTCCCTAACTGGTGATCTTGCAGGAAAATATTATCCACTGACAGGAATGGACGAACAGACAAGGCAAAAGCTTGTCGATGATCACTTCTTGTTCAAAAAGGGCGATCGCTTCCTGGAAGCTGCAGGYGTGAACAAACTTTGGCCGGAAGGACGTGGTATCTTTCACAACAACGACAAGACGTTCTTAGTCTGGATCAACGAGGAAGACCAACTTAGGATCATTAGCATGGAAAAAGGAAGCGATATTGGCTCGGTCTTCAACAGATTGTGTAAAGCAGTCAACGAGATTGACAAGCAACTTGGTTTTCAACACACTGAATCCCATGGATACCTCTCTGGTTGTCCTACCAACCTTGGAACGGGAATGAGAGCCAGTGTYCACGTTAAAATCCCAAAGGCAAGCGAGCATCCAGATTTCCAAAAGATCTGTGAYCAGTTTCACATTCAAGCCCGAGGTAAGCAAGAACACTGACTGATTGAGSAAGTGAGGGTTTACAGGAATTAGTGAGTGACTGAGTGAGTGATGACAGGATTGAATTAAGTTAGTGAGCTGTTTTCTCTACATCTCTGCTTAAACATTAATGGCTATAGGTCGGTTCGTATTATGTACTTATTGACTGAGTATGAGGGCCGTACGGAAAAATATTTGGCTTGAGGTTATGCCGTACAAATGACCGAGAGCCAAATATTTTCCCGTACGGCCCGACCTAACTCAGTCAATAAGCATTTTATCATATGACAGCGTACAAATGACCGAGAGCCAAATATTTTCCCGTACGGCCCGACCTAACTCAGTCAATAAGCATTTTATCATATGACAGCGTTTTTTAATGTAAAAAAATAAATAAAAGCGCGCGGAACTTCAAGCCGGTAAAATACGGGTTTTTATCATATGACCCGTATTTCGGCCCTACGCGCGCTCTCACTGAAACCTTTGGAAAATGGTCGCGTGATGTGGTACGTACGCCTTTTCGCGACAGGTCCGTACAAAACCCGTATTTTCCCGGCTTGAAGCTCCGCGCGCTTTTATTTATACGTACGGCATAACCTCGAGCCAAATATTTTCCCGTACGGCCCTCCCACTCAGTCAATAAGTACATAGTACGGACCTGTCGCGAAAAGGCGTACGGACCCCATCACGTGACYRTTTTCCAAAGGTTTYAGTGAGAGCGCGCGTAGGGCCGAAATACGGGTCATATGATAAATGAAAACACTGACCAAGGTCATGACAGTACGGGCCGAGCACAGCCGGGTTATTTTATTTTATTTTTTTCATTGTATTTTCTGCAGCTTGGCTGGCAAACTAGCTGCAGGATACCGCCAACCGGTCAGATCGTGAAATACCGTACCGCGCGCTAGCCAATCACAGTGCGCGAATGACTAGGATACCGGACCGAAGAAAAAAATAATACAAATTATTACATCACTTGTGCTTTTACGCTCACTTTCAATGTAATCTAGGTATCCATGGTGAACACTCGGTGTCTACTGGTGAAGATGCAGGCGTGTTTGACATCAGTAACCGTCGTCGTCTTGGTCTGTCTGAAGTACARTGTGTACAAGACATGTACAATGGAGTCAAGAAGCTTTTGGAAATAGAGCAGGCTTAAGAACGATTGACGAGAATTATAAAAAGAGCATAGCCCTACATGATGAAGCATTTTCAATGAATGAGTCTTGGAGTGAATCACCAAAGAAAATGTAATGGAACATTTTTGATAAACCATGTAGTTAGTTTTCTATTGTCTAGCATTTTTGTTTACGTGTCTAGAAGGAAAATGTCTTTAGAATAGGCCAGAGTACCTATTACATCAAATTGTCTGATTTGGACTTTTTTTAGAACCCAATGAGGATTAATAAATGACGACTTTYACATGAAGTTTTGTATATTTGTTGCTTAATCTATTGTTATCTATTTGCAAAGTTTTGCTAAATAACCAGCCTTATATGTRTCTATTTCTTAGTCTCAATTATATACTAATTTGATAGAACTATATGCTTAGTATTAAGCAGTTTTGCCTTGAACATAGTCTTTAGAATATGCTTTCTCTTGTGTGATTTTGCAATTGAACCGTGGAAGATTGCACATCATCTTGTGAAGATTATACATTTTCTTTGACATACAGCCTTTAATAAAACGCTTTTCTTTAAAGTTGCTTCCGTTAACTTTAGTCGTCCTTTCTATGTAATAGAATGTACATATGTCATTTGTATTCTGACATGTTTCTGCTTTGACCTTGCATTTCKCAAGGGACACTTTGCTAAAACAGGATGGACAAATCAGGCACTCAACTGCAGTAGAAACAATTTTAGTTAAAAACAAGGAAAACATTAGGAATGAGAGAAGAAGATTACTTGTCAACGCTCCTCATATACTATGCATAAGGGACAAGTCAAAATTTATCTGGGGGTTGAAGGGGAATTTTTTCGTACAAAATGCAATATTTCTTTCTGACCAATCCCCTGGAGAATAACATTTTATTTGTGGGCAACCCTACTGCTGTTATGTTAGATGGCATTAAAGAATCGTACTTTCAATGTTATTACATGTATAAATTCAGATGGATTTATATCTGTGATTTTATAAAATACGTCTTCAGTTTTAGTAAAAGATTGTAAAATTTGAACTGCCATCTATGGTGTGCATTTCACTAAACAGAAAGAGTGTCCCACTCTTCCCCAATATAATTTTTTTGACCATCTKACCATCCCCTATTCTTAGAAATCTAAATCTGCCCACTCTTAATTCCCCCCTACCCCCCTACCCCCATATAAATAATGACCGGACCTTAAATTTGTCTAGTATTCTGCCCTAATAATGACTCAATGGTTAGGCAATGCATAGACCTGGGTTCGAATCTTTGTGCTCGTCGTTAAATAAAGTCTTTTCATTCCAAGTAAAAGCCTTTAATTTTTTTTCTCCTAGTTAAGTTTCCTCTTACATATAATATGAATATGAGGAAGCTATATGCGTGCATAAGAAGAAACAGGTAAAGGCATCTATGGAAGTCAAAATGATAGGATGTTTTTGATTGTTTTGCTTTTTTTCTTACCTTTGACGAGCATACATAACAGTACAGCTACTTTGATTAAACACTTCATATTGCTTGCGACAGGGCTAAAAGAAATATTACAAGAAACGTAGGTTATATCAACAAAGTTTAAATATTACAGTAAAATATTTTGTGTTCGGGTATCGAGTTTCTACCGATTTCCTGATTGGACTAGTAGCTTTGTAGTAGTCGACTCGAATGGAGTGAGCCCGTAAACTAAAATTACCCTAAGTCGCGATGTCAGGCTTCGAGACAGAACATGGAGTAAACTAAGGGAGCAAGAAAATTTGGTGGAGTACGGGAGGGATACCGTAAACCGGTCCATACGGAAATATGGAAAATAGCTASTCGGTTAGAAAGTAAGGAAGAGAAGAGTTACCTACTAAGCATTTAATGSCTTACCAAATCTTGGGCGTCGTCTTGGTTTTCCTTGTTAAGATACTGGTTGGCTGACCTTGTGGCGCTGTCGAGCACTTAAACCAAATATCATATCAGTGTTAATTTATTAATGTGTGATCTGTTATCTATAGTCAATGTTACGAATGATGAGTGGACTTGAGAAATAGTGAGATATAGTGAATTATAAATTACTTGCAACAGGTGTCTCACTGAAAACTCTAATTTAACCTGCTAGGAAAATGTCGTGATTTAAGGTTTTGACAATTTTCCGAGAATAACTGTTTTGTTTTCCAAAACAAACATGATCAATTTTTGTTACATAAATATCAAACCTTGATGTTTAAGAAGAACAAGGAGGAAGAGAGTGAAAAAGAACAACAGCAACAGCATGCAATAAAAACGACAACTACTACTTATAATAAAATAGCAAAAACAACAACAAGAGGTAGAAGAAAAGTGATGAAAAGTAATGAAAATTGTGAAGAAAAAGCGAAGAAATTTTGATTGCAAAAAACAAGAAGTTTATTAACATTAGATATGACACTAAACAATGAAATTTTCAACTAAAACTGTTTTAGGCAGGCAACATTATCAGTAAAAAAAATCCCAGATAAGTTTAGTATGACGAACCGTTATTTTTTATCTTTAAAACTTTGACGTGTTTTAACACGATTAAAATCACTCAAACTATCTTGTTGTCCTTGAGACGTTAATAATGCAATAGACTTCAAAACATGACAGGTGTGCATTCGTTTTGCAAGTGCGAGTATTTCTCACACGACGTTCTGCGCGGCTCTTAGCTTTAACACACGCTCAGAACTGGCAAGAAATCGCGTCACRTTATTCTTCGTGAGTACAACTTATTTTTCTGACATCACTGGGAAAAAAATTGCGCTATKTAGAGGTTGTAAAGTTGATGTAAATATGATGCAAGTGTCCAAAATGATGRGAATTTGTTATAAATCATTTCCATCAAATTTCCATCATTTTGGACACTTACATCATATTTACATCAAATTTACAACCTTTAAAGACCGCGATTTTTTCCAGTAATACTGAAATCTGTTTTCTTTACTTTTGTCAATTGTTGTTGCTGCTGCTATTGTTCTTGTTGYTGYTGCTGCTATTGTTATTCCTGTTTTGTCTTTCCTTACCGCCTTCTTGACCTGTGTCCTTTCGTTTTTCTTTCCTTAAGCAAAACCAACCAGTTTATATATAAGAAAATTCTAAAGGGAAGTCGGACAAATAAGCTGCAACCCACACGCATAAATATGAAATGAAGTAGAAAACTGCAGGAAATCAGAGAAATATATAAAATTGATATATATAAAATTGTTACAAGTGAATTGTTATTATAAATAATACATTATAAATTAATAACCGTATACGKTCATTGAAAGAATACCTGCTAGTATATACAAATACCAGTGAAAATACCCCATTTTCAAATTCAGAGCGAAAAATCGCTGTTTTMTTTGACAGCAGATTCTCTTACGCAAATACCTTACCAAACACAATATAAAACACGAAAAAATGCTGAAAGAACAACAGCGATAACAATTTATCTTCCCAAAGTCTGTCTGAAGTACAGTATGTACAACACTTGTACGACGGAGTCAAGGACATTTAGACATTGGAAATTTAGCAGGCTAAAGAACGATTGACGAGAAATATAGATGAGAGCTTAGACGTACATGATGAGCTCTTTTGAAAAAATGAGGCTTGGGGTGTTCAAATCAAATTTCCTGATTTAGACTTTCTTTATAATCCAATGAGGATTTTAATTAAAACGAATTTAACACAACATTTTATATATTTATTTTTTTATTTTAATACTAATATTTTCAAATATTTTGCTAAATAATCCAACAAACTACCTTATGTATGTATTTTTTTAATCTCAATCATTTAATATGATAGAACTACGGTTTCAAAATTAAGCGCATTTGCCATTGCCATCGTTTTTACAGCCTTCSACTTGAATAATATCGCACTTGAACCGTGGAAGTGAGCACATCAWCTTGTGGAGATCATACAATTTCTTTGACATACAGCCCTGAATATAACGCTTTTGTTTAACCAAGCTCCCCTGAACKTCAGTCTTTCTTTCTATGTAATAGAATGTACATATGTCATTTTCTTCCTCGCATACTTCTGCTTTGACGTTGCATGTCTCAACAGAMTCTTTGCTAAAACAGGATGGGCAAATCAGGCAATCAACTGCAATAGAAAGAAATATGGTTAAAAACCAGGACATAAGTAAGGATAGGAGGAGTCAACGGGTGCCTGGGAGAAATATATCTGTTCTTATGTCCCAGCCAGCTGTAAGTCACAACTGGTTGTCAGCGAGAAATTCAGGAAAAAATAACTCTCCAGGCAAGAAATAATTTCTGCAAGAAGCCGTTTTTGACTATAAAAAACGTTTTATAAGCCTTTTTTGACCTTGGAAATGTTCGTTAGGGTTAGGCAATGCATACGCCAAGGTTCTAATGTTTTGCTCGTCGTTAAGCTCGTCATATTGCTCGTCGTTTAGTTTATTCTTCAAATATAATGAGTTCATTTATAAGGATGCCATATGTTTATATTAGCGCTGCTGCATCCACAACTATATTTGTAAGCCAAATTATTGGTTGTTTTGATTGTTATGTTTTGCTTCTTACCGTTGACGAGAATGCATAACAGCAGGGCTATATTGATTAAACACTTCATATTGCTTGCCTTTCACCTAAAGCAACAGGACTGAAAAAAAAAAAGATATGTGGCTTATTTTAACAAAGTTTGTCATGAATATCAAAGGAAGATGTCGAAGATGAAGTATAAGAAGGAGGACGAAGAGACGGAAAAGACGAAGAACAACAACAATAACAACAACAAGAA